AACTGCCCCTCCCCCCACAAACACCATCCCTTTCCCTTTGAGAGACAGGCCTCCCTACGAATCACGCTCCAGCTCCCGCAGCTCCGCCTCCAGGCCCTGGGCCCGCCTCAGCTTCTCCAGCTGCTCCTTGGTTGGCTGCTTGATCTCTCCCGAGTCCAGTTTCTGCTGCAGCTCCTCCACCTGGCGCAGTTTCTTCCTGAGATTTTTGATCTTCTTGGCTTTCTCAGAGGCCGCGGCTGCTGTCTGAGCCCCCTCAGGCTGGGCCGGGGGGGTGCTGTTCTGCTGGGGCGCACTGTCCCCGCCCCCCCCGCCCCCGCTGATTTCGATTTTCTCCACCGCAGCACCCAGAGCCTCCACCGGGGGGCAGCCTTCTTCCCCACTCCCCTTGTCCTGCTGCTGCTTGCGCTTCTCCTTGCGTTTGAGGTTGCGTTTGGCCGTCTTGGAGAGCCCAGCTGCGCACTCGCTCTCCCCCCTCGCTGGCGCCCCCTGCTGCTGCCGAGCCTGAGCGGCGTCCTCCGGACTCATGCCAGGGGGCAGGTCCGGCTTGCTCTTGAAGAACTTGACGTATTTGTTCTCGTAGCTACAGGGGGTGAGGGATGGACCAGAAGGAGAGAGAGAGGGAAAGGAGGAGAGAGACAGGTTGAGTGTCGGTCAAAGGCAACCGGTTAAAGCAACATGAGCTCTTTCTTTTTCACAGAGCACAGGTTCACAACTCCAGTCCTCGAGGGACAGAATACAGCAGGTTTTCTAGATCTTTGTAAATGATCAACGAATAATGACCTTTGAAAGGGGCTGAACTGATCCCATTAAAAATATAAAGAACAGGCCTGCCTAGCCTGTTTGGTAGTTAATTGATCGCAAGATCTCATCCAGCCCTTTCCTGAAAGAAGTCACGGTATTGGCTGGGTAGCTTGTTCCCTGCTCCCACTGCCCTTTGTGTAAAGTAGTGCATCCTGTTCTTGGTTATTACAGTCCTGGTTGGGCCAGAGCATGGGTGCAACAGTCAGGCTTAGGGGTGAGAGGTATACCGGTAGAATTATGTGCCATGATATGGATCTGGCTATACCGTTCATACCGTTAGAGAATGGATTTTTATGTTTACATAGATTGTGCCGCCAGCATTGTCGCAAAACGGTGTTTGGAAATGTTTACTATTGACTGGTCATAATTTAAAACTCTGCCGTATTTCAGGTCCAATTATATAATTCATCTTGCTGATATTTGGAAATCTGATCAGATTTATTGAGCTTCGGTGGTTCAGACATCCAGTTTATGACGCATCTGAGGTCATTGCAGCACATAAAAACGCGCGGGCGTCCTCTTCCCCTTTTCAGTGAAAACAAACGCTCGTGCTCGGCGTGCCCGTCTGCAAACACAAACACGCGGAGACGTGGAGAGGCAGGGAACAAGCGACGAGATTGCTGAAAAGGAGGGTGTCCCGTCCCAGATCTGCACTGCTGACAAGCTCGTCTTTCTGGCACGTAACCTGAAGTGTGTGGAACGCCCGCTCTTTTTCACATTTTTACACTAAGCAACCATTTGTTATTACTTTAACGCTTGAATATTTTTTAACTTATTTTTGTAATTTTAGTGTTTTACAAGAAGTATTACATATTTAAGTTTATAAGAATTTTATTTGAAGTGTTACATATTTACTTATTTAATTCATGTTCATAAGTTTATTGTATTGTTTCAGTTCTGCAAAAAAAAAAATTCTTAAAATGTTCGACTTCTACTTCAGTTTAATGCGAAAAATAGAACCACACAGTAGCTAACCAACAGTTAATAATAACCTAATACTTAACTCCAGGCAATAAAATCTTACTATCCAAGTTTTGTGCTCCTTTTAAAGCATGTTCTATTGAAATTATGAGAAACTTTTCTATATTGCGATATACATCGTTACCATCCAAAAATAAAATTATACCGTGGTATACATTTTAGGCCATATTGCTGAGCCCCAGTCAGGGTTTTGGACTTGTAACTGTATGGCTGTGGGATCACATCCACTGTGAGTCACTGCTACTGTGCCCTTGAGCAAGATACTTCACCTGAACAGCTTCAGCAAAATAATCAGCCGCACAAATGGGTGCAAATGTAAGTCATGTAATGTGAAGGTGGTGCCGTGGCTCTGTGGCTAGGATCTGTGCCTGTGGCTGGAAGGTTACCGGTTCATATCCCGGGGCCGGTAAAGGAATCCTACTCCGTTGGGCCCCTGAGCAAGGCCCTTAACCCCAGCTGCTCCAGGGGTGCTGTATAGATGGCTGACCCTGTGCTCTGACCCCAAGCTTCTCTCCTGTGTGTCTCATGGAGAGCAAGC